TTTATCAAAAAAAATTTGGACGGCACGGGCTTTGTCATGTCTTGGTGCATGTGGCCAGCAAGAAAGTACGGTCAAGCATGTTTTGTCATTGCCTTGTTTTCTGAAAATCAACATATTTGTCCTGGTCTTCGACAGGCAGCTTACAGGGGAAACACAGTGGGACTGAACAGGTTCTGTCCGGCGGAGAACATTGAGAAAATTAACAGGAAGGTCCTCCATTCGTACCTGAGGAATTACTACACGCCCAGCAGGATGGTCTTGGCTGGCGTGGGGATTGAACACGAGCAGCTTGTGGAATGTGCTCGCAAGTACTTCCTGGGAAGCAAGCCGGCATGGGGAAGCGAGAAAGCCAGCGACGTGGACAAGTCAGTCGCCCAGTACACTGGGGGGATCCTCAAGGTAAGGAACAGAAGGCCAGCTCTGCTCTTCTCGCCATGCTCTGCGGAGAGGTGCAGAAGGAACAGAAAAACAAGCCCTGCAGCTGGAGTTCAGTTCAGTGCCAGGACCTTGTTACTGGCAAGTTGGGAAGCAAAACCTGACGACCGTTGCATCTCCCGGTTTCGTAAAGTGATCGCTAACGATTTAAAATGGAGAACTTGCCTTAAACCTGTTCTCAGAGCAGCTAAAACAAAGTTGAACTGATAAAAATCTGGGAAGGACATGCAGCAGCCCTGAGTAGATTCTATGCCTCTTTCAAAATAAACGTATAGCGTAAAGGGCCAGTCACATCTATAAAAATAAATACAAAGCAGTGCAAGAATTAAAAGCAATAAAGAGTACGCTTAAAAAGAATCGTCGGGAGCAAATAGTCAGCCAGTCACCTAAAAGCTAAGCAAGGCTCGGACCTGGTTTGTATGGAGCTGGAGGCCACTGGGTAGCCCCTGGCGGTGGCAAACCCCTTTTGCGTCGTTGCCAAGAGAGCTGCTGTCAGGCTGATTCCAGGGAGGCTCTCTGGTTAAGATTTCCAAAGAGACCCCCACACGGTTAGAGTGCTGCGCCTCTGAGGATGCCGTCCTCCTGGGCGCTCCTCAGCCCCCCCTCCCACCCCCTACGGCTAGTCAAAAGAGACTGTTTTAAAAAAGTATTTGTGAGACTTGGTAAAACAGCAGCGGAGCTGGTCTCTTAAGGCTCGTTGTGCAAGAAGTTGCAAGGAGACTGGAAGAAGACCCTGCGTGGCCTGGCCTCGAGCCCTCTCCTGCCTCTGGGCTTTTTGGTCAAAAGGCCAAATCCCCAAGGAACCTCTTCCTCTCTCTGCAGCTTGAAAAGGACATGTCAGACGTGAGTTTGGGGCCCACCCCCATCCCAGAGTTGGCCCACATCATGATTGGGCTGGAAAGCTGCTCGTTTCTGGTAAGTATCCGCTTCGGGTTTGGTGGCCCTTTTGCCGGACGTCTGAGTGACCCTCTGCTTTGGCTTCTCTGGTCCAGGAGGAAGACTTCATTCCCTTTGCTGTCTTAAACATGATGATGGGGGGCGGTGGCTCTTTCTCTGCCGGGGGCCCCGGCAAAGGCATGTTCACGCGGCTGTATCTCAACGTCCTCAACCGGTAAGTCCCTGGGCTTTTCTGGAGGAGCAGGACAGCCTTCTCGTCAAGAGCCAAGGGGAGAGGAGACAAGCCGAGCCAGAGCACGGTGGCGGGAATGTCTTTGTCACACTGCTGTGTAGGATCTTCCATTCGGAGGTTTTTAGGCAGGTGTCCAAATGGACAAAGGAGTGGAAATGCGTAGGTGGTTTACACATTGTGCTAAGCTATAGTTTGCTTTAATCATGGTTTTTTTGGGCTAACCCAAAAGTGGTAGAGCTCCTGGGACATGCGAAGCCATAAATTACGGTTTTACAAACTGGTTGGCTAAGTTCAGACAACACACTAAACCAAAACCAAGTAAACCACCTTTGGCTTATCACAATATGTGAACCAGGCCTGTTGTTTGAGGACCCCCCTATCAGCCCTACAAGGTAGGCCAGATCAGGAAGCAGGTGCCGTGTAGGCCTAAAACTACTTTTATTAGAACGGCTATAGGAACAGAACCTTGGAGGTCTGAATGTGCTTCCCATCCTCCCACTTCATGTGAATCTGGCAGGTGGTGTTGCTGCCTTAAGGATTTTTGTTAATCTCTATCTTGGTATGAGCTTAAACCACGTTTATCTGTTTGTGGATGGATCTTAGCAATGGATCTTCCCTCTCTTCATCAAGCCATCTTCTCTGCTCTCTAGACACCATCCCCACAGTGATGGATACCCAAATAGCCACATCCGTTAACTTGAAGGGTCTGAGATGTGTTCATATTGTTGAGAGAATGTCCAGTTTAGCCAGGCAAAGTAGTCTCCCGCTAGTCTTTCAGTCACTCATTCAACATTCCTGATTGCCTGGACAGTGTGTGAACGTTACCAGATTTCCCATTCTGCCTGCGGTGGAGATCAATAGATGGATATTGCCAGCACATTGACCCCATAGCAATGGGTCACCCTCCCTGTGTGGCCACCAACAGAACCCATCCACTCTGGGAGAGGCAGAGCCACCCTACGATGATGCTCCCCATTCCCAGTGCTTGCAGGCAGTCCAGAAAGATGCTGGGGCCACAAGTGTGGAAGGCTACGGAGACAATCATACTCCCGCCCTGCAAACTCTGTTGATGAGAGTGACCAGCGTGGTTTCCATCCCACACCCAGGCTTGAATCCCAGTTGCTGTGGATATCTCTGTCCTCCAGTATTCTTTGTAGTTATTGACCCACCCTTTCCTTGACAACCTCCTCTGAAAGGAATCTGGAATGGTGGATCCACAGTGGGACTTTTCTGGGTTCACACAATAGATCGTAGCCTAAGTGAAGCAGTTGGGTTTGCACAAGATGCTGAGTTGCTGAACAACCCCGATCTAGGTTGTCGCCCTGCGAATGCATCTGCCAGTTTGGCAGAATTCTTCAGAGCTCTGACTGCATCTGCGGCCGTTGCCTTCACCTTCTTCCTGCCTCACAGCAGCCTTCTCTAGGCCAAGTGGTGTCTGTCCTGGCTGGGGCTGATGGGACATGTAGTCCAACTCTTGAGGAGGACCCATAGGTGTAAGAGGCTCTCTTAGGGAATGCTGCAGGGGACAGTTGATATTCACCCCCTTTCCCCTTGTCTGCTGCTCTCTCCCAGGCACCACTGGATGTGCAATGCGACCTCCTACCACCACAGCTACGAGGACACTGGCCTCCTGTGCATTCATGCCAGTGCAGATCCCAGACAGGTGTGCTGCTCCACAGGATGGATTCCCCCCTTTCCTGCTGGACACTCTCTCTCCTTGTCAGCTGGAGGTTGGGATACATCTGCTGGCCCGGCGAGCGAGCAGGCAGCTGTCCCAGGGCCCCCCTCGAATGGTCTGGCGAGCAGGCGGCCTCCTGTCCTGTCCTTACCCTAAAGGTCTCTCCCGAAGCTCTCCACTCTTCAGCAAGAGAGGCCTTAAATGGAATCCATTGCGTCTCTTCCTTGATTGCAGGTCCGTGAAATGGTGGAAATCATTACCCGGGAATTCGTTTTAATGGCTGGAACCTTGGGAGAGGTAAGAGGCTGGGGAGGAGGGTTTATGTCAGGGGCTTTGGGGTTGGATCAGAGCTGGTCCCCCATTGTCTCTCCCTCTAGGTTGAGCTGGAGCGGGCAAAGACCCAGTTGCGGTCCATGCTGATGATGAACCTCGAGTCTCGGCCGGTTATTTTTGAGGATGTGGGGAGACAGGTGTTGGCAACCGGGGGGAGGAAGCTGCCCCAAGAGCTCTGTGTCCTGATCAGTAAGTAAACGCCTCGACTTCCCGACTTGCAGCTCGCTGGAGCCCCTCCGTCTCACAGTGAGGAAATTCTGGGAGGGGCCTTGGTTTTTGAGTCTGCTGCCGAAGCGAGCACCCCCC